TGAGTGTGTGAGTGTGTGTGTGAGTGTGAGTGAGTGTGTGTGAGTGTGTGTGTGTGTGTGTGTGAGTGAGTGGAACATGCTGAAAGAGCACGCACGTGCTGCTGATCAAATGACGCGAGAGTTTTTCTTTCCGACGGACGGGTGTTTGTATATCATGCTCGTTTTCTTTCTCTCTGTTTCTATAAACAATCTGAATCTGAATCACTGTCTTCAAGCTCCAGCCCAAAATAATAAATGTTACTGGTGAATTTCCTAAAATCATCCAGGTCAGATTCCACCCAAAAAAAAAAAAAAATTAATAAATCTTTTCATAAAGATTTTTTAAAAGAAATATTTACATATAAACATTTTTGCAGTTCTTTATTTTGATTGTGTTGTGAAATATGACTTGGACATGATTCAGTATCTTCTGATTTAATCAGTATTGTTCTACTATCATTGGACATGATTCAGTATCGTCTGATTTAATCAGTATTGTTCTACTATCATTAATATACTATTATAGATTTTGTTGTTTTATATTTTCTGTTTCTGTTTAATTTTTATTTAATTGAACGTTTTAATCATTTTGCTGTGTTTTTGTAATTTGTCTATATAGTTTAATTTATTTTATTACTTCAACTACTATATACATACGTATGTTTTTTTTTCTGATGTAAGCATCAAAACAATGCCCTACCGTATTGCATCGCATCAAAGCAGTCAATCCAACACAGTGAAGAATAACTTAAAGAGGTTGCCACCGTTTAGTGAACTGTGGCGCTTTGGCTCTTCCTGTTGACTTCTATGGTGATTAATCGAATGTGAATGGCCTTTCATTTTTAACCAGAAATGTGCACGCTGCTTTTCTGATGTTCACTGAAGTTTTCCGTGTCTTTTTCCCGTGTCACTTGAAATGTTTCCGTTTTGAATCGTAGTTACCAACAGACATGACACATGAGGAAAAAATAAACGATCGGTTGTGGGACTATATACTGTCATAAATTGCATACCATTCATTGCTGAACTTTCTACCGTCCGTTACTCGAAATGAAATGAAATTACTGGTTGATATGTCCCGATCTCAATAAAGTTTACATACGCTTTTGGTCCGTGAATTAGACCTCGCTTGGGACGCGTGCTGTCTGGAGGTTTGGCCAGGACCGGTTCCAGAATTAAACAACATATTTTATGTTCCGTCCATTGCCAATCACTGCTATTCATGCATAAATATGCGGATGTCATTCCCGAAACTTTGCAGGGTGTAGCCTATGTGTCCGCAAAACGAAAGTTTCATACAAATTCTGAATGCATTATACCCTAGAAAGTGCGCAAAGCGTGCTCCCTTTATCACTAAAAAGCGTCACTCATCTTCGTTCATCGCGATCTTACAAAGTTCCGTTATAATCAATGAAGCTCTCTAAACTGCACAATAAATCTCTTATTTACATCGCGTCTGCACGTAGTCATGAGATGATTCACAAGCGTGCAAACCTGCACTTAAAAACTGCGCCGCTTTCAGCGGTGAGTGAATTCTGACAAAACGTTTCTGATTGGCTATTGCGTTTAAGAAATCAACAGATATGTCTGTGATTGGTTACATTGCTCAACGCTGCAAAAACACATTGAGGGTATTTAGCGCTTGGCTAAGCAGGCCGACATCAGGTATTCCATGACTAACAATTTGGGGGTGGGGGGGGATATAATGTATATATACATGGGCGACTTTGCCCCCCCCTAATGTCGCCCATGTATATATACATTATATTATTATAATATAATGTATTATAATTATACATTATATTAACATCATTGTATTTGAGTGATTTCAGGTTTCCCTCTGTATATGGGGACATTTGGCCAAAACATGGTCTCTCTCTCTTTTTTTGCTCTATGGTACATCATCTTTAATTTAATAGCATGCAGTGGCTCAGTACTGTAATCACGTGCTTTGCTGTAATAATCAGAGCATGTGAGCGAAGCGGAGCGGTGTGACGTTTTCCGCTCTATGGAGATCTCTACAGATTCTCGCTCTCGAACAAGCAAATCACCAAACGGCATTCTGGGTTGAGCGAGTGGCGCTGAGTGTATTGAGCGAGCGGAGCGGAGCGGAATCTTCAGAAAGGCGCTCTGCGCTCTTAAGGAAATATTACCTCCCCGCTACGCTCACGCTCCGCTCCGCTCACATGCTCTGTTTCTGAGCAGTGGGTTATTCCAGAACACTCATGCTCCTGTCAGATATTAATTATGAGCTAAAATATGACCTGAATTTTTTTTTTTTTAATAAGAAATATCAGGCTTTAATTTTATAATTTATATTTTCACTTAAATTTGAGTCAAGTAATTTTGTTGTGTGTTTTTGTTATTTTTATTAGTTTTTAATGTCTACATAATGCATTTATTTATTGCTATTTTGAAATACATGAAAATTAGTTTTTTTTTGAGAACTAGCTGAAATAAATTACTCTTTTTTTAATTTTTTTATTTATTTATTTTTTTTTGTATGGAAGCCCTTTTCTGCCACTGAATAAAAAATAATAAAAAAAGGTTATTGCAATTTTTTATCTGACTTCTCTCAGAATTGTGAGGTATAAACTTGCAGCTTCTAGGAAAAAAAGTCAGAATTGTGAGATAAACAGCAATTACCTTTTTTATTTTTGGTGGAAATTGGCTTTCATAATTCTGCTGAATTTATTTAAAAAAAAAAAAAAAGGTTTCAGTTTTAGTTAGCTATAATTATCCTGCTGTCTAAATTATTAGTTCATCCAAATATTACAATTCGGTCACCTGAACCTGCATGACTGACTTTCTTCTGTGGAACACAAAATAAGATACTTCAACAAATGTTCGCGCTGCTCATTAACATACACTGAAGACAAACAGTGAACAGGACAAAATAGACCGTAAAAGTATCATAAAGTGTCTCTTTTTTTGTGTTCCACTGCAAAAGGAAAGTCCTCCGGGTTTGTAAGAACATGAGGGTGAGTCAGTAATGATTCAGACATCTCTGTCTGCTGTGTTTCAGGCGGACGGTGTCTGGCTGTCCTCCGACGGATGGAGATCAGCGGCCGCTTCCGCTATTACTTCCAGCACCCCTGGTCTCGTCTGCTCGTGGCTTACCTGGTCACCTTCTTCAACTTGCTGATCTTCGCCGAGGACCCGGTGTCTCACAGCCAGACGGAAGCGCACATGATCGTGGTGGGAAACTGCTTCTCGTTCGTGGTCAGTAAATATCCCGGAGGAGGATGGAACGTCCTCAAGGTCCTGATGTGGATCCTCGCCATCATCACGGGCCTCATCGCCGGGAAGTTCCTGTTCCATCGACGCCTCTTAGGTATGTCCAGGGTTTTATTTCTCGATTAGTTATTTATTGCTCTCGTCTAATGGCTCATATCGATTATTTCCCCTCAGAGGAAGCGCAGATCTTTAAGATCAGGTTAACAGCACATGACGATTCTGACTCGTGTGTTTAGTAAACTAGTAAAGTGTCCAACCAGATGTTTTATGATTCTATGTTCCCATAAATCTAACATAACCTAATTCTTAAATATATATATTAGTTCATTTATTACAGGCCACTTATATATTCTATGTAAATATTAAATATTGTATACGTTCTATATATGTATATATGTGTGTGTGTTTGTGTGTGTGTATATACACATAAAATGTATATCATATATAATATTTAATATATAAGTAGATATTTAATTGCATATTTACATTTGTAAATATATTTTAAATATTATAATAATTTTAAATGTAAATTAATATTTAAATTCGTTTTTTTTCAGGAATACTTTTATTTGTCAAGGATGCATTAAATGTATCATTTATAATGTGACAAAATATTTCTATTTCAAATAAATGGTGTGAATGTTAATATAGTTTTTACGCTAATATAATCATCTTTATAGTTATCGTTATTGGAGTGAACGCTAATATAGTTATTGTTATTGTTATTGGTGTGAACGCAAATATCGTTAAAGTTATAATTATTGTGTGAAGACTAATATAGTTTTTGTTATTGGTGTGAACGTTAATATAGTTGTTGTGCTAATATAGTTATAGTTTTTGTTATTGCTGTGAATGTTAATATAGTTATCGTGCTAATATATTTATCGTTATTGTTATTGGTGTGAACGCAAATATTGTTATAGTTATAATTATTGTGTGAACACTAATATAGTTTTTGTTATTGGTGTGAAGCTTAATATAGTTATTGTGCTACTATAGTTATCTTTATAGTTATTGTTATTGTGTGAATGCTAATATATTTATCGTGCTAATATAGTTATTGTTATAATTTTCGTTATTGGTGTGAACGTTAATATATTTATCGTGCTAATATAGTTATCGTTATAGTTTTCATTATTGGTGTGAACGTTAATATAGTTATCGTGCTAATATACTTATCGTTATAGTTTTCGTTATTGGTGTGAATGCTAATGTATTTATCGTGCTAATATAGTTATAGCTTTCGCTATTGGTGTGAATGTTAATATAGTTATCATATTTAAATTCGTTTTTTTTCAGGAATACTTTTATTTGTCAAGGATGCATTAAATGTATCATTTATAATGTGACAAAATATTTCTATTTCAAATAAATGCTGTTCTTCTGAACTTTCTATTCATCTGTGAATCCTGAAAAATAAAATGTATCACAGTTTACACAAAAATATTGTGCAGCACGACTGTTTTCAACATTGATAATAATCAGAAATGTTTGTTGAGCATCAAATCAGCATATTAGAATGATTTCTGAAGATCATGTGACACTGAAGACTGGAGTAATGATGCTGAAAATACAGCTGTGCATCACAGAAATACATTACAGTTTAACAGATATTCACATAGAAAACAGCTGTTTTACATTCTAATAATATTTCACAATTTTTACTGTATTTGTGATCAAATAAATGCAGCCTTGGTGAGCAGAAGAGACTTCATTTAAAAACATTACAAAATGTTACTGACCCCAGACTTTAGAATTCTAGCTTATTGAATATTGAACTTATATTGAATATGAATAGATGAGAAAAAGACAAGAGGTTCTCATAAGGAGTTGATGGAGTGTGTAGTTTAGATGCAGTGTTTTAATTTCTCACGGGTGTTTGCAGATTCGTCACGTGTCATCGACCTGTTGTCATAAATACTGCAGGTCCATCAGCCGAATCTGTGCTCATGGAGTTTATGAACAAAGATCCTTACGTGATCTTTACATAAGAGCACAGCTGAAGACACGCACAAGACATCAATCTTTCATTAGATGTGACGGGATATAGGCAGTGCTGCTTTATTCATTATGCTGTAGCCTCGTTTACTGATGTGTGCTGCTCTCAGAAATGCCAGGATCTGATCGGATTTGTTGATTAACTTTATTCCACACAAAATTAAAAGCCTGTTCACACCAAAAAGACGGTAACTATAACTCTAAAGTTTAAATAATCGTTCTAATTCTGTACGAATATGGAAGTCCACACTGCAGTTATAATGATAACGACAGAGGTACAATATCAGTGGAATCACATTCAGAACGATTTTTTTTCCAGCTTATGAACGATGAAAACTTTGAAAGCCAATCAGAATCCACCCAACTTTAAAGCGCTCAAGCATTTTTAAAGCTACAAATGATGAAACTGCAGCACACAGTTAAAATATCGTCCTTTGGTATGGACGCTAATACAGTTATCGTTATAGTTAACTTTATAGTTAATGGTGTTTACGATAATATAATCATATAGTTGTTGTGCTAATATAGTTATCGTTATAGTTTTCGTTATTGGTGTGAATGTTAATATAGTTATCGAGCAAATATAGTTATCGTTATAGTTTTCGTTATTGGTGTGAATGTTAATATAGTTATCGAGCAAATATAGTTATCTTTATAGTTATCGTTATTGGAGTGAACGCTAATATAGTTATTGTTATTGTTATTGTTATTGTTGTGAACGCAAATATTGTTATAGTTATAATTATTGTGTGAACACTAATATAGTTTTTGTTATTGGTGTGAATGTTAATATAGTTATCGAGCAAATATAGTTATCTTTATAGTTATCATTATTGGTGTGAATGCTAATATATTTATCGTGTTAATATAGTTATCGTTGTAGTTTTCGTTATTGGTGTGAACGTTAATATAGTTGTTGTGCTAATATAGTTATCTTTATAGTTATTGTTATTGTTATGAATGCTAATATATTTATCGTGCTAATATAGTTATCGTTATAGTTTTCGTTATTGGTGTGAACGTTAATATAGTTATCGTGCTAATACAGTTATCGTTATAGTTAACTTTATAGTTAATAGTGTTTACGCTAATATAATCATCTTTATAGTTATCGTTATTGGAGTGAACGCTAATATAGTTATTGTTATTGTTATTGGTGTGAACGCAAATATTGTTATAGTTACAATTATTGTGTGAACACTAATATAGTTTTTGTTATTGGTGTGAACGTTAATATAGTTATTGTGCTACTATAGTTATCTTTATAGTTATTGTTATTGTGTGAATGCTAATATATTTATAAGTTATTGTTATAATTTTCGTTATTGGTGTGAACGTTAATATATTTATCGTGCTAATATAGTTATCGTTATAGTTTTCGTTTTTGGTGTGAATGCTAATATATTTATCGTGCTAATATAGTTATTGTTATAATTTTCGTTATTGGTGTGAACGTTAATATATTTATCGTGCTAATATAGTTATTGTTATAATTTTCGTTATTGGTGTGAACGTTAATATATTTATCGTGCTAATATAGTTATCGTTATAGTTTTCGTTATTGGTGTGAACGTTAATATAGTCATCATGCTAATATAGTTATCTTTATAATTATTGTTATTGTTATGAATGCTAATATATTCATCGTGCTAATATAGTTATCTTTATAGTTAATGTTATTGGTGTGAATGTTAATATAGTTATCGAGCAAATATAGTTATCTTTATAGTTATCGTTATTGGTGTGAATGCTAATATATTTATCGTGCTAATATAGTTATCGTTATAGTTTTCGTTATTGGTGTGAACGTTAATATAGTTATTGTGCTACTATAGTTATCTTTATAGTTATTGTTATTGTGTGAATGCTAATATATTTATCGTGCTAATATAGTTATCGTTATAGTTTTCGTTATTGGTGTGAACGTTAATATAGTTATTGTGCTACTATAGTTATCTTTATAGTTATTGTTATTGTGTGAATGCTAATATATTTATCGTGCTAATATTGTTATCGTTATAGTTTTCGTTATTGGTGTGAACGTTAATATAGTTATTGTGCTACTATAGTTATCTTTATAGTTATTGTTATTGTGTGAATGCTAATATATTTATCGTGCTAATATAGTTATCGTTATAGTTTTCGTTATTGGTGTGAACGTTAATATAGTTATCGTGCTAATACAGTTATCGTTATAGTTAACTTTATAGTTAATAGTGTTTACGCTAATATAATCATCTTTATAGTTATCGTTATTGGTGTGAATGCTAATATATTTATCGTGCTAATATAGTTATCGTTATAGTTATCGTTATTGGTGTGAATGCTAATATATTTATCGTGCTAATATAGTTATCGTTATAGTTATCGTTATTGGTGTGAATGCTAATATATTTATCGTGCTAATATAGTTATCGTTATAGTTATCGTTATTGGTGTGAATGCTAATATATTTATCGTGCTAATATAGTTATCGTTATAGTTATCGTTATTGGTGTGAATGCTGATATATTTATCGTGCTAATATAGTTATCGTTATAGTTATCGTTTTTGGTGTGAATGCTAATATATTTATCGTGCTAATATTGTTATCGTTATAGTTTTCGTTATTGGTGTGAACGTTAATATAGTTGCTGTGCTAATATAGTTATCGTTATAGTTATCGTTATTGGTGTGAATGCTAATACGTTTATTGTGCTAATATAGTTATCGTTATAGTTATTGTTATTGGTGTGAATGCTAATATATTTATCGTGCTAATATAGTTATCGTTATAGTTATCGTTATTGGTGTGAATGCTAATATATTTATCGTGCTAATATAGTTATCGTTATAGTTATCGTTATTGGTGTGAATGCTAATATATTTATCGTGCTAATATAGTTATCGTTATAGTTATCGTTATTGGTGTGAATGCTAATATATTTATCGTGCTAATATAGCTATCTTTATAGTTATCGTTATTGGTGTGAATGCTAATATATTTATTGTGCTAATATAGTTATCTTTATAGTTATCGTTATTGGTGTATAGTTATCGTTATTGGTGTGAATGCTAATATATTTATTGTGCTAATATAGTTATCGTTATAGTTATCGT